GGGGGAGCGTGTTCTGGGGTTTTAGGTAGGGGAGGGGGAGTGTGTGCTGGGGTTTTAGGTAGGGGAGGGGGAGTGTGTGCTGGGGTTTAGGTAGGAGAGGGGGAGCATGTGGCCGTGCTGATTGGCACCTTCCCACCAGCCTGTGTTTGGCATTGAAGACTGAATTTCCTTCCCTTGACTGTCTGGATGTTTCTGGTTAGTTTTCATCTTCAGGCTGTGTTTGGCCTTGTTAGGTTGAGTCTTGACGTCTGGACCTTGACTTCCTGGGAAAGACAGCTCACTCATATACTAAGGAGGGACAGAAAGACCTGATCAGTTTTGAACAACAGTTGATTGTGCTGAGTATGCACAGCCGCAGTTAGCAGACCTTATCTCTAAGTTTTTGCTCTTGTCTTCTAGCCCAGGGAAGATCTTTTAACCTCTTCATGCTCCATTTCAACCCCCACCGTCTTATGCTCGTTCCTCAATCTTCGGGAATGGGGGCAAAGACTGCTTTAGCTACTTCCTGCTGTGAAAGGGCAAAGATCAGGGTCAGAGGAGTGAAACTGTTCTACCTTTACTTTCAAATATTTTGGGTACCAGGTGGGGAGAGCGAGATATGCTTTGCATGACTAATATTTCAGTCCTCTGATCAATGGCTTCGGAACAATATTTAAGTCCACATTTTATAATTACATAGATGACCACACATTAGCTAAATAGCCCGAATTTTAGTGTCCTCTCCATAATGGACCTCAATCCTTGGGGAACCCAGAAGAAGAGGCCTGTAAACCAGTCAAGGTTAGTGCCTGGAACCTTAGGTGAAATCTGATATAGCCAAGTAGCCTGCTATCTGTAGTCCAACAAGTGAGGTGAGAACCTGGGAGTCATCCATTCTTATCTTTAGGAGACTGTCTTCTGAACAGCAGCTTGTGGTCTGTCAGGGGTTCACCTGTCCATTCTGAAGAGTCAGTGTCTGGACTATGAACCAGCCAAGTTTGGGCGACCCCAGTTATGATGTTCTTCTGTGGCACGGTTCCCGTTCCCTGTGGTGTTTTTCCTGGTTTCTCGTCATCTAGTTAGTTTTGTTCTGCATCCTGAAGTGACTGGGAATGTCCCACAGGGAGGAAGGACACCTCGTGTGCAGGTCCCCCTCGGAGGTTGAGGCGTGGGGAAGGGTCCAGCGCCTCCCAGCCCTGGGGCAGCCCAGAGCTCTTTGAGGAACCTTGACCTGCTCGCTCACCAGAATTAGCCAAGTGTCTCGTTTGTACGTTAGTGGAGAGATCCTATCTGGACACCAGCAGATGCCACCGGTGTTTAAGTGAGCATGTGGCATTGAGACTTCCTTCCTGGATGGGGCTCCTTCTGCGAGTTGAGACATTGGACACATCTGGGTGCCTTGGGTGCCCGGTTTGAGAACTGCTTCTCAGAGGCAACAGCCGCAAAGGTGGAGTGAGAGGGAGACAGGAAAATGAAGGATATATTGTAATTCTTGCTTGTTGTTTTCATTTTTGCTCAGAAATTGGCACGTTGTAGTGCAGAGGGAGGTCCTGGGCCTGTGGGGAGGTTCTTGGGGAGTGCCGACCGGTGGCAGAGCCTTTCCTGAAGAACTGCCCGGCAGGTCCGCCTCCGCTCGGCCAGGGCTCCGGCGCTGAGGTGGACTTTGCTGACCCCGGAGATGCACTGAGTGTGGCCATCCTTCTCAATCCAGGTGCCCCAGCCCCTTCTCCTTGGCTTCCCTCCAGGTGGAGGCACCACGCCTCCTGGGTCAACCGAGGCTGACTTCTGATCGGCAGCTGGCTGGGCTCTGCGAAACCTCAGTGATTGGTCTGTGAAGCGAAACTGCACATGTTTCCTCCCTAAAATGTGCGCTTTCTGGAATCCTGTCCATCTAGAACAAGCCTTTCGCAAAGTCTTAGCCCATGTATTATTTTTTTGTTGGCATGAATATAGCAAAAAATAATACATCTTTTAAAAGACGTGGCCCCAAACTCTGACTCTGGAAGGAAAAGGTATTTTTGGAGGAAAAAAATGGGAATTTTTTTTCCTCCAAAAATAGGGGACTGTTTTCTTTTCCAGGCCGGCAGAAGACATTACGTGCAGCCTCCTCCCGCCCTTGTCAGATGCAATTATGTAGCTGGTGGACCCTGAGCCCAGCACTGCCCTGGGGTGGTCTTGGTGCCTCAGTTTCCTGCGCTTTCTGCCCCGCCCGGCACCGCGGGACTAACTGTGCTTTCCTCGTTTCCAGTAAAGGCAGACCGCGCAGAGAGCCCCTGTGTGGATGCTGTCCTGGACACTCTAGGTACCGCGGACGCGGCGCACGGACCGACCATTGCTGCACGGCTCTTCTCTTCCTCCCTTCCCGCTCCTGATACCCTCTGCTTAGTAGAGGTTCTAGACGAGCAAGGAGAGGCTGGCGCCCCACCCCGGCCCCCAGGCCCCAATTCTGATTGGCGGCTCGGCCTCCGCGCCCCCCCCGTGGTGGAGCGCTAGGCTCCCTCTGATTCCAAATGACCTCCTGGGTGACGGTGGTCCCGGGGCGCCAACGCCCTCCTTTCTCCACAAGCCCAGCCATGCCCTGCTCCAAACAGGAGGGGCTGGCCGGGGATTCTGAAACCCAGAAAGGGCGCCAGCGCCTCCTGGGGTCCTGCTGGCTCCCGGTGAGCCTTGTCTCCAGGGCTCGTCAGTCTAGCACCTCTACTACGCACCTGAGGACGGCCACCCCTTGACCTGCTGCCTCACCCGTGGGAGGCAGCTTGCCCTGTGTGTGCCGGGCTCCCCAACACACCAGACACACCGGAAAGCCAGGATCCATGGCTCCCCTTCCCCTGTGCAGGCCTGGTTAGGGCAGACAGGAAACTGGAGGGTGGGAAAGCCGCCCTGGCCCTTTGCACTGTGGGCTCCTGACCGCACCTTTCCTCTCTTCTGTCCACTGTCTGCTGTCGGGTATGTGGAAGCGTCTGTCCTCTGCTTGCTCTGGGTGTCCCCCTACTCCTGCCCGCCTCCCTCCCTGACCGGTGCAGCCACGCAGCGTGTTGGCAGCTGCGCCCACCTGCCATCGTGTGCATGCAGTTGGTGCTGCCCCTGGAAGCAACAGTGCCGCGCGCCGGGCATGGGGAGGGGCCGCGCAGCAGGATCAGGGCCCCAGCGCGGCGGCATGCTTGCGCGTCTGCATCCGTGCATGCTGCGAGTCCCTCTCCACCCCAGAGGGGCTTGGAGGGTTGCCTCCCCACCCTCCACGCTGCCTGTGTCCGGGAGGTCGGCGCTTGTGGGGACACTGTTGCAACCCCAGGAGGGGAGATTTAGGGCCCCTGCAGAAGCGGTCCTACTTGCCCAGAGCGTGTGTCCAGGGTGCTTCTGGCCACGGGCTGGTCCCTCGGGTCAGGGGCTGTGGTCAAGCTGCTTAGGGACCAGAAGGGCTGGAGGTGCCCATGGCCAGGCCAGGAGCCCCGGCCAGGTTTGGCCCTGCTGTGCGCAAGTCTCACAAATGTCACTTTGTTCTCCCCACTCTCCCTGGGCATCTGTGGTCCAGCCATGGACCAGGCAAGTCTCTCTGTGGATGCCGGCTCCCGCACCGCTGAGCTGGGCCCCAGCCATGCAGACCGGGGTGCAGCTGATCTCAGCCAGGGCTTCCCACTCGATCCGTCCCTGTTTACGGCTGGCCCCACGTGCTTAGAATTTCGCCCTGGGGAGGGTGGCAGGCAGGGGAGGAGAGGCTGGACCTCGGCTTTCTCCCCCAGACCCTCCTGAACTTGCTCCCCTGGCGCCATGTAAATGCCAATGCTCAGATGGCACGACACTGCCCTCTCACACAGAGGGTGCTCCTGGCCGCGGGCTCTTTCCCCCCCCGGGCAGGCGGCTGGAGCCCCACCCTGCACATTTGCTTCTGTCCTTGGCTTGCGAGGTGAGGGAGGGGCCTCTCTCAACACCTGCAGGATGACCCGGCCATTTGGGCCCCTGGAGTGAGACAGGTCTGGTGTGGCTGGGTGGGCTGAGAGCCTGTGGGCACTGAGCTGCGACAGCCATGGAAGTCCAGGGGTCCACACTGTGGCTTTCTCCAGCAGAGTGCCCCTCCCCTGTCTGCCCGTCGGAGAGCAGGAAACAGTGGGGCCAGGCCAAGGCCAGGCAAGGCTCCTTCCTGTGGCCCCATTCTCGTGATTTGGGGGCCCCTTGTGCTGCATGGGGCAGCAGGTCCAGCCAGGTGTGCCGGGCTCTCCTGGCTGAGCCGGCTGTTGCTTCTGAAGTTCTCCCTGGACCAGCTGGTGGTCTCCGTTGGGACAGGAACAAAGGAGAAGGTCATCTGTACAGAGGCCCCCATGGCGCCTGGCTCTGAGCGTCCCTCAGCCCCCACTTGCCCATCTTGGCCTCGAGCCGGGCACAGCAGTTACGGGCTCACAGGACACAGGCCCCCTAAGTGGGCTCTGTGCCTCAGATTGTCTGCCTGGGGGGCTTCTTTCTTCCTTTTCTTCCTGTCCTGCAGAGACCTGTGAATGAGCACACACGGTCTCAGCTGCCTGGGGTGGTGGGGAGGGGGTGCCGACCTGGCCGCAGTGTCCAGGCGGGGTGGACCGGGGCGAAAACTGTCTCTTCTCCGTGGCCCGTCATCTCTGTGCCGTCTAATGGACGTGTCTTGGCTGTCGCTTTCCGTTGGCGCTGTTGGAGGCGGCTGGCTGGGGGGGCCATGGTGGGCGCGGACAATGTCTGAGGGATTGGCAGGCGATGGAGGCTTCCTAGCGACAGTGGAGGCCCTCCAGGCCCTGGGGAAGGCTTGTCACAGGCCCCTGGGCAGTGAGGGGCCTGCTTAGAGGTCATTTAGGGAGGTTCCGTGGCTCCTGCGTGTGGCTGGGCGTGAGCAGGTTCGCAGTTCACAAGAGCCCCACCCTCCTTTCTCGGGCAGACGGTAGACACTGCTCAGTGGGAGGAAGTGAGTGGCTGCCTGGCCCTCCAAGCTGAAGGCTGCTCCAGACCACAGTGCCTACCCATGTCTCTCGGCTGCTGCCTGGAGGGTGTGAGAGCTGGGTACACGGGGGGTCAGGCCCGTCTCTGCGGTTAACAAGAGACAAGGGACAGGGAGGCCCGAGGACCCGTGCAGGGCTGTGGCTGGCTGCCCACGGTCGCCCCCTCCCTGCGGCCTCGGGCCAGGGCTTGGGACAGCAGGCATATTCAGCCAAGGCAGCCAACACAGGAGGTACGTCCGTTGCATTGTCCGCAGTGTGGACATTCAGTTCCTGGGCGCCTCTCTGGGGGGTGGCGCCTGCACTTGCCTGTGCGGAGGGGAGATGGGGCAGGCCACGCTCCAAAGCCGAGAGGGGGGCCCTCGCCCTCCGTGATGCTTCCGTCCTCCTGCTCCTCGACCCAAACCGTCTGCCAGGCGGCTCCCCGGGGTTCACCGGGGGCCCAGGGCTCGGTGGGCGACCTCACACTCCTGACCCTGGGGCAGGCAGAGAGGGATGGAGGGCAGAGGAGGGCTGCCCCTGGGGCAGTTACGGGGTGTGCAGGGGCAGGTGGGAGACCGTCAGAGTGGCCGGGGACCAGGCCCACGGAAGGTGCCCAGGGAGAGGCCACAGCCACAGGGTGTTTTGGGACCTGTCTTGCCCCGGGGTATCACTGGAGAGCGAGACCTGGTGGGACAGTGTGCAGAGGGCTCCGGCACCTTTTGGTGGCAGCCACAAGTGATTTGAGAGTCCACGGACCCCTCCCCGGCTAGGCTGCGTGCCCGAGCTGGCCCTGGGCAGCTGTGGTGGAGCTGAATGTGCACTGCCGTCCCCGTCCACCTGGCGGCGAGTCATTTCTCTGGGTCTGGACTCCCTCCAGTCCACGTGGATGGTGTCAGCCGCATGCAGATGATGGGGTGCGGGCGTTCTTTCCAGAGTGACCTCTCTTGCTGTCTTTCTCTTGCTGTGTGTGTCCGTCCGTCCATCTGTCTGTCGGTTCTCGCGGGAGCAGTCAGAAGGTCAGTTTGAAAGATCGTGTCTTCTCCAGCCCCCGAGGCGTGGCAGCAAAGGTGAAGGGGTCCCCGCAGGCCCAGACCGTCCGGCGGTCGCCCAGTGCTGACCAGAGCCTCGAGGACAGTCCGAGCAAGGTGCCCAAGAGCTGGAGCTTCGGAGACCGCAGCCGCGCGCGGCAGGCCTTCCGGATCAAGGGCGCCGCGTCACGGCAGAACTCGGAAGGTGGGTCGGCCCTTCGCCCTCCCGCGGTCGAACGCTACCGGGGGTCCTCCCGGGGGTCCTCACCAGCACTGCGGCCTCTGAGTGGGGACGCCCCCTGGTAGCCTCTTCGGTTCTTGAGGTGAAATTCACGGAACATAAAGTGAACCGTTTTAAAGTGAACAATCCCGTGGTGTTTAGTACATCCATGTGCACCCGTCATCTCTGTCTAGTTCCAGAACATTTCATCACCCCAAAGGGAGCCCCTCCCCGTTAGCAGTCACTCCAGCCCCCGGCCACCGCTAGTCTGCTCTGTGTCCGTGGATTTGCCTGTTCTGGGTGGTTTACACATGGGCTCACACAGTGTTTATCCTTCGGGCTTTGCTCCCCGAGCAGGGTCTTCTCCGGGTCCTTCCACTGCAGCGTGTCGGTGCTTCACTTCTTTTCAGGGCTGAGTGATGTTCCATTACTGCCGTGGGTGGATGGGTCCCGTTTGGTCTGTCCGTCCGTCCATCCACAGGGATCCATTCCCTGCAGTCCCCGGGGGCGAGGAGCCGGCTGAGGAGCGCCGGACAGGGGCAGGTTTCTAGGCATAGGTGTGCCTGGGCGGGGTGCCCCAGGGGAGCCCCGCAGGGTTCCCTGACACCCTCGCTGACAAGCACATGCTGCAGGAGTACAGGACCGGGTCCCCTCTGTCCTCAGGGGGGCCTGTCCCCTCACAGGCTCTGTCTCCTTCCACCCAGAAGCAAGTCTCCCTGGGGAGGACATCGCGGACGACAACAAGAGCTGTAACTGCGAGTTTGTGACCGAGGACCTGACCCCGGGCCTCAAAGTCAGCATCCGGGCCGTATGGTGAGGGACCCTGGGGCGCCTGGGGCGAGACCCAGGAGGGGACGTGTCCACCCTCTCCCGGGGCTTTGCGGGGCTGGTGTGCAGGTGCGCACGCTGGTGGGCCGGCCGATACCCCTTCAGTCCCGGCTCCTTGTGGCTCACAAGCAACTCGTGTCGCCCACCCGTCCCGGGTGTGGAGCCCAGAGCTGTTGGTAGATGGCCAGGAGCCTCCCCCGCAGAGGGGTCCTGGGTGGACGAGGGTCCGTCTGCGCAGCCAGGCCCAGGAGTGGTTGGTGTCCACAGCAGGCGGGTGGCCCAGATAACTTGTGGACGTCCGCGGGGCTTCAGGGAGGGCCACGGCAGGCGGGTGCTGGGTCTGGGGTTGGAGTGCAGCCCACGGTGGGCGGTGGCCTGGGGCTCATGGCCCTCCGCCCGTCCCCTTTCAGTGTGATGCGGTTCCTGGTGTCCAAGCGGAAGTTCAAGGAGAGCCTGCGGCCCTACGACGTGATGGACGTGATCGAGCAGTACTCGGCAGGCCACCTGGACATGCTGTCGCGCATCAAAAACCTGCAGTCCAGGCAAGAGCCCCCCGCCCAGCCCCGGGGCGGGGGTCCTGTCCTCCCGGCACGCGTTGGGGCGTGTCCGTCAGGGGCCAGAACGAGAGGGGTGCAGTGCGGGGGACTGCACTGGCCCTGCCCGAGGTGGGTGGTGGGCAGGGCCGCAGGGGTGCGGTGGCCGGCCCTGCTTGCTGCCGCCTCCGGGTCCTTCCTCTCTGGCCCCTGACAATCCCCCGTGGGCTTCCTGCCGTGTCCTCGTGTGGTCTGTTTGTTTTTAATGTTTCTGTTGTCTCTCCTCTTCCGCCCATGCCATGATGGGCAAGCATGTGTGTGTGTGTGCAGTCACACACATGTGTGCACATGCATGTGCGTGTGAATCACACGTATAGGTCTCTGTGCACATGTACAAGTGCATGTATGCGTGCACGCATGTGTGTGTACAAGAGCATTGTGCACACATGTGTTATGCATGTGTGTGGGTGTGTGTCTGTGTTGTCGCATGTGTGCAGTGTGTCTGTGCACATGTGTGTGCATGTGTACGTGTGTGTGTGTGTTGGGAACAGAGTGGTTTTATTGAGAGATGAAGCTGCGGGGTTTCGTGTCCCCATCAGGCAGCAGTTATGCCACTTGGAACCTCTTCTTCCAGCACAGAGGGGCTCGCCCCTCTCCCCACCTCACAGGGGGTTCCCATGCCCCAGGCAGGAAGCGGGGCTGCAATGCGTGTCTGAGGCGTGGCAACAGCAGGGCACACGCTGCCTCTGCTGTCTCTGGCCCCACGTGTGTGAGGACTGACTGGCTTGCACACCCCAGGAGTCACCTGTACATGTGTGTATACAGACAGAAGCAAAGGCTCAGGACACACAGGAGCACACCCATGTACAGGTGTGTACACGTGTGTGCACAGACTCGTGTCCACTCCCATGTGCACACATGTGTGCTGGCACACACATGTACACACATAAGCATGCTCTTAACCTTGTGCCCACATACATGTCTCCCTTAAGTCCGTGCACACACATGCACACCAAGTATACCTGTGCTCCCAGGCGTGTACCCTCCACCACAAACAAGCACGTGCACACACGTGTGTTTGTGGTGCCTGTAAGGAGGCCGTGTGGCTCTCTCTCCTGAAGTGGGTGGCACACTCCCCCAGTCAGAGCCCCGCCCCTGCCCAGGGCCCCTCCAGCGAGGCTGCCACGGGGGGGAGGGTCGGCATGGTCAGGGACAGTCCCAGGGCGTGGTCAGTGTGCCCGCCTTGGGGTGCCTCCCCGTCCTGCTCCAGGGTGTCGGGAGCGGTCGCTCTGGGCCTTAGGCTGCTCCCATGGGAGTGCCGGGAGGGGACCCCTTCCTCTACACAGGCTCAGGCTGGGAGGCCCATGGCTCAGCATCCTCCCAGAACATTACTAGACCTGTGGGTGTGTGTGACAAACGTGTGTGCAATTGTGCATGTGGTCAAATGTGTGAGAAAATGTGTGCAAATATGTGAGAGCATGCATGTGAGCAAATGCATGAGTGCAAGTGTGAGCAGACATGCAGGTGTGCACGGAGGTGCGAGTGGGCATGTGTGGGAGCAAACGTGGGTGTGCATGTGTGCAGATGTGTGTGTGCATGTGTGAGTGTGCATGGTGTGCAGGTGTGAGTGTGCCTGTGTGAGTACACATGTGAACAAACCTATGAGTGTGCACGTGTGTGTGAGTGCACGTGTGAGCAGTGTGTGCACCTGTGTGCATATGAGCAAATGTGTGAGTGCATGTGAGTGTGCGTGTCACCTGTGTATGTGTGTGTGCAAGTGTGAACAAACGTGTGGGTGTGTGAGAGGACAGTCCCGTGTCTCCACTGCTGGGCCTGTTTACACGTCTCTCTCACTACAGCTGTTTCTGTTCACCAGGCTCTTGTCCTAAATTTTCCCTTTTACTTCCCTTTCTGTCTGAAAAAACAACCAACCAATGGGCCAGCCAAGGAGCCGGGACGATCTGTCAGTCGCTGGCAAAACCTTAATGTTGTTCTGAGCCGGTGCCCTGGTACTTTGCTGCCAGCTGCCATGTGTCCCCGTGCACACGTGTGCTGGCCCGGGCACACCTGGGGCACACGGCTCCCGGTCCCCCGCTCGCGTGAACACGGGAAAGACCGGGCCCAGCCAGGGTCGAACGAGTGTGCACCCGCCATGTTCTGTTCTGAGCGGAACATGTTTATAGGAAGTGTCCCTGGGCTGCTGTAAGCCAGTGGTTCCTTCTGTTTCTGCCGGTTTCCAGCCGGCTCCCCTTTCGTGTTGCTTCACGATGCATTTGCTGGTGTCTCTTTTCTTGTTTACTCGCCAGGATAGATATGATTGTGGGCCCCCCACCCCCTTCAACTCCCCGGCACAAGAAGTACCCCACCAAAGGACCCACGGCCCCTCCGAGAGAGTCACCCCAGTTCTCACCTAGGTCAGGATGCCAGCCCTCTCCCGCCTTGTCTCTGTGGAATGGCCAGCCCCCTTCGCTCCAGGCCACATGACGGCAGCACCCGCTCTGCTCTTCTGATGACAGAGGGGGCGTCCCTGTTCCTGATGAAGCCATACGGGGGGAGGCCGTTCCTTGCAGCCCCTGGGGGTTGCCCTTGAGCTGCTCCTCTGGCGGGGTCCGGGGGAAACTTTCCACGGGGGGCTTCTTTCTATGGCCATCCTGTGTGATGTCCACCTGGGCTGGGGGCTCCCTGGGTAGGAGCAGAGGGTGGCACCTTGAGGATCAAATGCACTCAGACTGCAGGGAGGACCCATGGGCACAGGGCCTTCTGTGGCTCTCCCCTCCGTCCCGACTCAGAGCCCCCCCCGGGCACCCGCCCACTGGTGGGTCGACTGAGCGGCCTGTGGTCTCAGAGGTCCTGTCGCTTCTCTTGCCTTAAACTCTTGTGAAGAATAAACAGGAGAGTCCCTGCCAGGTGCCCAGACCCGAGTCGGGCTCTGAGGGTGTTTTTATTTTCAGTCGTCATCACCATAGTTAGTATTATGCGTGAAGATGGCCCAGCTGAGGGGCAGGATGGAGGGTGGGGGTGGTTAGTGGTGATGGGCAGAAGCAGGTTCTTTAGTGACCAGTTCAGACTTGGGAGCCTTCCTCCTTCCCTGGGCTGGTCAGGGGATGGCTGCCACCCGTCCCCCTCCTCTGGCGGCTGGTCGCCGGAGGGTGAGCGGAGCCCTGGGGGCGGGGGTGTGAGGGTGAGAGCAGATACACCCCAGCCATGCTGGCAGCTCAGGAACAGCGGGGGTGTCTTGGAGGCCAGCAGGGGTGCTGGCAGCGGGGCACATGGATCCGGGCCCGAGCTGCCCAGTGGAGTGACTGGGGTGTCTGACCAGTCCTCCCTATGAGCCAGGGTTTCTGCATGGAGGCCAAGGGTCAGTGTGCTGGGCATCTCAACTCAGTGGCTGTCCCTCGGGAAAGGAGTTCCCTGGGGAGCCCCAGACAGTGTTTGCTGGGTCCCCTGCTCTGCCCATGTCCCCCAGCCCCAAGGATGCTGTACCTCGAGCCTCGAGACTCTAGTCTGTCTTTCTGGCATTGCTGCAGGGATGGTGGCTGGGCCATGAGCTGGGAAGGCCTCGCCGGCCCTCGGAGCCCCCTGGACCTCCCTGGCCACTGCAGCCAGAGGACACACAGATTCACACAGAGCAAGGGCTGGAAGGACAGACTGGGGCACGTGGGGGTTAAGCCCGACTCCTTAGCCCGAGGCCTAGGGGAGGGGGTGGTGCAGGTTCCTCCGAGGACCCTCTCCCAGCCCCCACCAGCGGCAGCTCCAGGCTGAGCCCTTGGCCAAGGCTCCCAGTGGGACCGGCCGGGCAGGCGGCCCGTCATGTGGCAGGGGTGAAGGCGCTGAGCACCTGTGTCTGGACTGTGTGGACACTTGGTAACACCAGAGAACCCTTCTCCCTCTCCATTTTCCACTGCGTCTGCTTGGAGCCCCAAGGCCCCAGCCCCTCCACCCCTCCCAGACCTTTTGTGCATGAGTCCAGCATGGAGCCCAGTGGAGCATGAGGAGGCTGCACCGTGGCTGACGCAAGCCTGAACCCTTCTGCTTCATGCGACAGAAAGAAAAAAATCACCCCTAAGGCCCCCCACCCCATCAGAGGCAGACAGGGCAGCCCTGCAGGTGAGGAAGGCAGCCCAGATGTGGCCCCGGCCGGCTTGGGTGGCGCCTGCTGGGCCGGGGGAGCTGGCACCCTCCCGTGTTCCAAAACCTGAGAAGTGCGCTTTGTGCTCCAGGCCCCAGGCCAGAGATGAGGCAGGGGCTGCGTGGCCTCGGCCTGGGTCGCTGTCCTGCTCAGCCGGCTTGAGTGCCGTTTGCCCAGCAGGTTCGGAGCAGCTGGCCCAGCAGCTCGCAGACGGCGGGGTCTTTGTTTCCGAGTGAGCATCCACACTCCTGCAGCTCACCGGCTCGGAGCCCTGGGAGCCATGCAGCTCCTGCAGCCCCTTCCAAGCCCCTCCGTGGCCCTTCCTGTTCAGCACTGGGATCAGGGGACGCCGCACTCCCCGGAAGAAGCCTCCTTCCCCTCTTGTTGGCATTCGCGACCCATGGCCTCGTTTGAGATCGGCTCAGCTGCGTTCTGCATCCCGCACACGTGCACAATACACACGCGCGCGCACACACAGTAAACCCACGCACACGTGCACAAGCCCACAGCACACATTTCACACACACACGTGTGCACATGCACACTGGCAGAAATATCCACACGTGTGCACACGCACCCAAGCACACAGGCCCCTCTCTCTGGTCGGCAGTGGCTCTGTCCCCTCCTTCAGTTGTGCGTTGGTTTCCTGTGTTGGTCTGTGTCCCGCTCCCTCCCGTCCTGGTGCATGGAGCCCAGCTCTCCCGCCTCCCTGCTTCTGTTGTTCCCGTGCAGACATTGAACTCCGTCCCCACCAGATCCGGTGGGGCTTCGGTGGCACATTATGTAGGAGTAAAGCTCTGGGGTAGGGCGGGGCGCGGGGAGCGGGGGGGAGCTGCTGGGTGAGAGGCCCCAAGCCCCTTCTCTTTACTCCTCGCTAATGCGCCAGCCCACTGGAATGGAACGGACGGAGACAGGCCCCGAGAGTGTCAGAGAACAGGGTGACCACTGGTGCCCGGCGTCCATCTATCCTGGCACCCCGCTGCCCCCTGATTGGCTCTGGGCTCGGACTGGAGCCTGGATCCGGGGGGCCGTGGCCTGGCCCAGGAGGAGAGGGCCACGGGCTCCGCCGCACCCACCTGAACTCATGCCGGGGGGCGGGGTCTCTTCCCGGCAGAGTGGACCAGATCGTGGGGCGCGGCCCGGCGATAACCGACAAGGACCGCACCAAGGGCCCGGCCGAGGCAGAGCTGCCCGAGGACCCCAGCATGATGGGACGGCTGGGGAAGGTGGAGAAGCAGGTGGGAAAGGCGGGGGAGGCACCGCCCCTGCCCGGGTTGCCTGGGGGTGTCTGGGGTGGACGCCATGAGGGGTCCTTGAGCTTCAGAGAGAGGCGTGGGGCCCGTCACAGCGGAGGGCTGCTGCCTCAGGACCTCTCGCACCCCCGTGAGCCCCTCCCAGGTCCAGGGCACTTTCTCCACTGCCAGCAGGACTGCAGACCCACAGGGCCTGAAGTCCCGGGCTGTTCGTCTCCCCTGGGTGAAGGCTGCTGTGGGCAGCACGTGCTCCAGGCCCTGCGGGTCATCCTCTGTTGCACCCGGCTGGCCTCGTCCCCACCCGCCTCTCTGCCCGACTCCACGCTGGCCCCCTGGGAGCAAGTCCTCAGGAACCACGCACAAGACCCTCGTCCCGAGACTTGTTCCTGGGAGCTGGCTGGTTCCTTCCCTCTGTGGAGTTTGCTCCAAGGGGTGGACCCACAGACAAACAGGAGGGTCCAGTGCTCTGAACCCAAGGCCACACATTGAGGAGTGGAGTCAGAGGCTGAGCTGCTGGTGGATCTGCCTCCCGCTGCCTCTGCCCCTTTGTGGGGAGCAGCCCGGGTCCCCCTATCTCCAGGGAGCAGCCCAGGTCCCCCCACCTCCAGGGAGCAGCCCGGGTCCCCCCACCTCCAGGGAGCAGCCTGGGTCCCTGCCCCTCCAGGAGCAGCCCGGGTCCTCCCACCTTCAGGGAGCAGCCCGGGTCCCCCACCTCTGGGAGCAGCCCGGGTCCCCCCACCTCCAAAGAGCAGCCCCGGTCCCCCCACCTCCAGGGAGCAGCCTGGGTCCCCCAACCTCCAGGAGCAGCCTGGGTCCCTCCCCCGTCTGGGAGCAGCCCAGGTCCCTTCCCTCTCTGGGAGCAGCCTGGGTCCCCCCACCTCCAGGGAGCAGCCCGGGTCCCTTCCCTCTCTGGGAGCAGCTCGGGTCCCCCCACCTCCAAAGAGCAGCCCGAGTCCGCCCACCTTCGGGACCAGCTCGGGGTCCAGCAGCTCCTTCTGCAGGTCTTGTCCATGGAGAAGAAGCTGGATTTCCTGGTGAACATCTACATGCAGCGCATGGGCATCCCCCCGACGGAGACTGAGGCCTACTTCGGGGCCAAGGAGCCGGAGCCAGCACCGCCGTACCACAGCCCCGAGGACAGCCGGGAGCACGGCGACCGGAATGGCTGCATCCTGAAGCTTGTCCGCTCCAGCAGCTCCATGGGCCAGAAGAATTTCTCGGCGCCCCCGGCTGTGCCCCCGGCCCAGTGCCCGCCCTCCACATCCTGGCAGCAGCAGTGCCACCCGCGCCAGGGCCACGGGGCCTCGCCTGTGGGGGACCATGGCTCCCTGGTGCGCATCCCGCCGCCGCCCGCCCACGAGCGGTCGCTGTCGGCCTACAGCGGGGGCAACCGGGCCAGCACGGAGTTCCTGAGGCACGAGGACGCACCGGCCTGCAGGCCCCACGAGGGCGCCCTGCGGGACAGCGACACGTCCATCTCCATCCCGTCCGTGGACCACGAGGAGCTGGAGCGCTCCTTCAGCGGCTTCAGCATCTCCCAGTCCAAGGAGAACCTGGACGCGCTCAACAGCTGCTACGCGGCCGTGGCGCCATGCGCCAAAGTCAGACCTTACATCGCGGAGGGGGAATCGGACACGGACTCCGAGCTCTGCACCCCGTGTGGGCCCCCGCCACGCTCCGCCACGGGCGACGGCCCCTTTGGGGACATGGGCTGGGCCGGGCCCCGGAAGTGAGGCTGCCCCTGGCCTCTCCCTGACTCCTGGCCTCCCGGGGTCCGAGGTGGGACCTTCCAGGGCCTTTCTTAGAGTAATGCGGGTGTGGACACCCCTGCAGGGCCGGGGGCAGGCGGGCACAAAAGTTCTTTTCCAACAAGGGCAGCTGGGCCGGCCGTGCCCACTCTGCAGGCCATTGGCCTGGGTGTGAGTAGGGGCTAGGGTGGTGGCTGAAGACAGGCTCCTGGGTGCAGGGTGGAAGCGTGGGGTCTGGGACCAGGGCCCGGGTGAGGGGGGCAGCAAGGGGCAGGCCTGTCCCCTGAGGATGGGCGGCCTTGAGGCCTGGTGGGGAGGGAGCCTGGGCAGGCGGCTGCGGGAGGTGTGGCCAGCCCCTTGGGTGCGGCTTGCGTTTGTCCGTCGGTCCCTGCCCCTGCCGTGTTTGTCCGTCTCTCTGTCTGTCCATGTGCATGGCTGAGGCGATGCCTCCTCACCTTTTGGTGCCTGTCTGGAGAGCTGCGGTCAGCATCGTCTCCCCGCTCCCCTGGGTTCTGAGTGTCCTGTGATGGGAGCCGGCCCCAAGCCCAGGACCCTGGCCTGGAGAGGAGGAGGGGCGAGGCCTGGAGACCACACCAGAGCACAAGTGAGTGACCCTTGAATCTCCCAGCCTCAGCTCCACAGGCTCTGGAAGGGGGTCTTTAGGGGCTCTCCCGGCCACAGGAGACCTGGGGGTGGGCACCCCTGTGTCCTCTCTGCTCCGCCCTGGCCGGGCGCCGCTCACTGGGCCACAGCCCGCACTGTGTAGTGACCCGTGTGCAAGGAACCATGCTGGGCGGTTGGGGGCACCGCCCTGAGCCAGGCTCACATTCCAGGGTCCTGGGGCCGGGTGGGTTGTGGTGAGCAGATTCACACGCCGTCCTTCCCCGGGTGCCTTGCTGCACCTGTCCACAGGACCTAGGGCTGGACGAGGCCGTAACCGCTGAGAAAAGCCTTCAAAGCCCCACCAGGGTTGGGAGAGGCCCTTCTGCCGTCTGGAGACAAAGGTGGCTCTGTCTTGTAGGACGTCTCTCCTGTCTCCTCGGAGCTGACTGTCCCCCACCCGCTCTCCTCCACTGCGTGTCCCCCCTGGAGCTGACCATCCCCTACCCGCTCCCCTCCTCTGCCAGGTCCCCCAGAGCTGACCGTCCCCCACCCACTCTCTTCCGCTGCCCGGTCCCCCCTGGAACTGACCATCCCCCACCCACTCCCCTCTGCTGCCCTGTCCCTTGGCTGTAACCTCTCAATGTCTTGGGAGTCAAGGACACCTGTCCCCGCCCTGGGCCCTGGGGAGCAGGAACCTCACCCCTCCTGTCAGCACCTTGGCCTGACGGGCTGCAGCTTAGAGCTGGGAGCCCAGCCCAAGAGGTGGGGTTGGACCAGCAGGTCCAGGGAGGGCCTCTGCGCCTCCTCACAGTGCTCATTGAAGTCCATCCCGACTCTGATCAGAGCGGTCAGCAGGAGAGGCCGTCGTGCCCTCTGGGAAGGACTCTAATGACATGTCTGAGGGTCGTGTGCCCCTGGTGCTCGGAGATCTTTTAGAGCTGCGTCTGCCGTCCACGGCAGGGCGTCACTGCTGCAGCCCCTGCCCTCGCCAGAACACCCTGGGTCCCACCCGTGGGCACCTCCCTGCTGGGGCTGCTGGCCAGGCAGCTGGAGCGTGGGCTGGGCCCTGAGCTGGCCCGAAGCCAGTGCCTGGGGCGGGAGAGCGCTGTCCGCACTCAGGGCTGTGGCCCGAGGGTGCCCTCTCTCCCAGTCTCGCGGGAAGGGTCAGCGTGGAAACTGCTGCGCGCCCTGGGGAGGAGGCACCCCGGAGTCCCCGGCCGGCCCCTCACCCCGTGTGTCTGCTGTGCGCACTTTCTTGCTCTCGAGGCAGCGTTTCTCTGGCCTTGGGCCCCGCAGTGGTGAGAAAAGCCCCTCCAGTGTAGACACTCGGGTACTTGGTGTGGCCGGTGTGAAGTGGCCCAGGCAAGTGGCCGCTGTGTTGCTGCTCCCCCTGGGCAAGGTTGGGGCTGGCGTCTGAGCCCCCTTCACCCTCCCGCTGGGGGAGAGGGAGACTCCAGCCACAGGCCCCCGGGCAGGGCACCAGCAGGCACCCCCTGAGCCGGACGCGTCCACGTCTGACACCAGCCCCAGCCAGCTGCTGCCACGGCCCTGGGAGAGTTAGATCCGACCGCCAGCAACAGGGACCTGTCCCCTGTTGGATCTCGGCCGTCGTGGGCCCCGGGCCTTGGGAGGGGGCCCTTTGCCCCTCAGGAGAGGTTTGTGCACTGTGCCACGCCGTGCCTGTGCTGTGCGCCCCGGTGGCAGGAGGAGCTGGCCTTGGACGTGCCTCCTGTCTCCAGAGCTGCTGAGCCGGTCGCAGGTGTCCAGAACCGCAGCCGGGAGGGTCTCTCTGGGGGTGCAGTGGGAGGGATGGAGGCTGGACCGTGGACGTGTGCCCGTCGCAGGGAGAACATGAAGTCTCCTCCAGGACATCTCCGGCCCCGTGGGAGAGAGAAGGCACACGTCTGTTTGGGGGATGGTTATAGGCGCAGTTTGGGAGATGATGGGGGAGAGGCTGCCCTTGGGGACCCTCAGCCCGTTATCCCACAGCACCCGTCCACTGCCCACGCCCCCATCTTCAGAGAAGTGTAACAGGGAAGGGGCTGGGAAGGCCGTGCACTGTCGGGTGTGTGGGTGTGTGACACGAGTGTGGCTGAGGGCAGCCTCCGCCTGGGGCAAAAGCAGCAGACGCTTCCTCAGACAAGTTATGTGTTAGCTAGCACATGTGCCCTTACAGGCCCACTCGCACACACCTGTGCTTGCACACACACCTGTGTACACACAGAACACACATGCACGCCCAGAGGCACACACACCACACATATGCTTGCACACACAGGCATGCACATGCATACACACGCGTGCGCCCACACGTGCACACACACTGCATTTCTGACCTTGGCCGCCCTTTGACCTTTCTCTGGCTCTGCCCTCTTTTAGCCACAAGGAGTTAACGACTTCGGGAGTCACAGGTGGTCCTGGAATGTGGAACCCTGGGTCGGGGTTCCGGCCATCCCAGGCTCCTGGGCAGCACTGGCGGAGGGTCCACCGGAGCCCACCCAGGGTCCCACGTTGCCCCCTCCCCGCAGCTGGCTGGGCAGCCGTCCCGAGTGTGTGGTCAGCTGGAGGCCAAGAGGTGGCTTGGGCTGGGCCAGGAAGGTCCCGGCATCTGTGGGGGTGTCAGGATCTGATGCTGGGGTGCTGGCCGGCTCTCTCTGCCCTCCTCGGCCACGTGGCCCAGCGGGGCATTGCCCTGAACCTTCATTGGCAAGTTGTGGCTCAACATCTCCCTTTTCTGTCCGTGTAAGATCGTGAGCTATGGCCTCAAACTGGGTGGCCCTGGAGGGCGGAGAGTCCAGCCAGGTGGTGGAGGGCTCGCCCCAGACCCACCTGCCTGGTCCCTCCCCTCGGGAGGCCACGGCTGCCCCCTCAGCGACACCACCTTCCTTTGGGGGGATTCGCCTCAAATCCCTGTTTGGAGGCTCAGGAGTGGCCCCAGGCTCCGGGACTGCACACCACGAGGGCTGCTCCGCGGGGTCCCACCTGGTGAGAAGAGGAGCCTGGAGCCGTCCTCCAGTAGTCCCACGACCCCCACCCACAGTGGTCACCAGCCTGCAGCATCACGCGTGTTCCGTGTGTTAATTGACTTTAACTGACCGTCTCCCTCGTGCCCGGCTGGTCATGGTTGAGATGTTAACATGGAGGGAAGGACGGGGAGCGGCCCGTCTTCTGCCGCCCCCACGTTCAGTGGCTGCCCTGTGAAGCAGGTGCCCCCGCCCTGACTGTTTGTGGAACAGAACTCGGTCCTGAGACATTTCCAGATGCTTCCTGAGGCCCAGGGGCTGGTGGGGGCCTTTGTAGAAATGCTGCCTTTTTATCTATTTCCTATTCACCCTGAGTTGTAAATAACGTACAGAGTGGGGCGCGCAGGCCCCAATCTCTTGCCGCAAGAGCGAAGGGCAGTGGTTTCCTCGCCCTCTGACGTCCCGGACCCCTGAGACGGCGTGGGGGGAGGAGGGGCGCTTTGACAGCGAGGACCCACCATGGAGGGTTTGGAGTGCCAGGCACCCCAGGGGCGACTTCTGAGCAGCGGGTAGGGGTCCGTGTGCCCAGGGCCCCTGTGCACACTGTCTCAGAATCAGATGCCCCCAACTGATGCCGTCCGGAGTGGTCCTCAGCTGCCCTCAGGGTGGTGTGCAGATCTCTGTGCCCCCAAGAGCAGAGCCCCAGACCTCCTGCTGTGTGCACCGATGGGTGTGGGCAGGAGGGCTGGGTGGGCCCGGCAGGGGTGGCTGCCTGCTTCAGGTGCCCGGGGAGGCTGTGTGGTTGTCCCGGGCCAGCTGCCCTGCGGCGTTCTTGCCCCCAGGAACCAGCTCCACTTGGGCCCCCACCAAGCTAAGTAAGAGAGACGACCAGGGAGGGCTTCCTGAAGGAGGCGATGTGGTGGGGTTGGGGCTCACCCCCCTCTTCTCTCCAAGGGTCCTGGGAAAGCCGGCTGCCCAGGCCAGGACACCACGTGGCCCCTGGAGCGTGCATGAGTGGGGGCCCCAGTTCGCTGGATTCTGCCGTCTTGTGAGGGGTGGGGGCCGACAGCAGATCCTGGGAGGAGGAGATGTTGGAGGAAGGGAGCTTTAGGGAACATGGTAGAGAGTGAGAAGGAGGTGCTTCTTGGGAGGTGAGACCCTCTGCACAACATTTGGAAGGCCTCTGTGGGATGGGAGGGGGAGGTGGGTGGTCTCTCGTCTCAGACACTTGCGCGTGTGCCCCATGCTGACGGAGGCGAGCGACCCTCCAGAAGGCCGATCAGGTGCCAGGAGAGGAGGGGACCCCCGAGGGCAGCCCTCGGTCCTGGGCTTCCAGGCAGGTGTGTGGATGTACCGTACACCGCACACCCACCTCTGACTGGGATTCATCAAGTCGTTGCCTTAATGCACGTTGACAGAAATTCACCAAGGTTACCCCGTGCCTCCTTGGTGCTCTGCCTCCTGCGTCCGTGGTCTGAGGGACAGCTCCGCAGACGGGCACAGAGGGGCTGGCGGA